AATAATAATAATAATAATAATAATAATAATAATAATAATAATAATAATAATAATATCAAAATAAATTATAAAATATCGTTAAATGATAAATGAACAATCTAGGGAGAGAAAAATAAATATATCTGATTAAGTAAATATTTGAAAAATAAAAATTAAAAAAAATAGCAACAATAAATAAAACATAAAAGTCTTTAAAAATAGAATTAATTTAAGATGTTGTTTTTTCCGCTTTGCCCGTCTCAAGAAACGAAAGCGACCATAAAAAACTCATTTGTGTAGCTAACGAGCATCCATTAGTCAAAATGGGAGCCACATGAAGCACGAGACTTGCTGAAGGAAAAATACTTATACCAGTACAGATGCCGCCCAATCAGCCAATGAATAAGGCAATATGTGAACGATAAGCATATATTTACTACAAGAAATGTCTGCACATAACAATAATTCAAAATGGGCTTCCTTATGCCTTATGGCATCGAGCAGTAGAAACACCGCCCCGCATGCTAGACAACAAAATTTGGCCAATTTATTGTTTTTATTTTTAAGGAGCAGGAGATACGACGCGTCGTCAGAAGTGTAAAATTTCCCATGTAACGGCAACTGCCAAAAGGAAAATCGATAGCAAAAAACAAGCTAAAAAATCAAATTTTTTCGCTGGAAAATCGAAACACAAATTGAACATCATGTAAATTGTCGTATTTCAGCCCAGCAGCCAGCGGCATAAATTGCCAATTAAATAGCCAAACATATGGCTAAAATAAAAGAAATAAATAAATTTATATCGGGTATATTTCAACTAATTGGTTGAAAAAATATGATGCGACACATGAACACAATATTTATGTGAAAAAAAATTGAATTAAACTCAATTTGTTATTTTTCTTTCTTTTTTTAATATCTACATTAAAAATTTTCATATTTCTGTTTTATTGTTTATTGGTTAAACTCATTTTGGTAACAAGAAAATTTTGCAAAATTAAAATAAGAACGAAAAACTTTGTTTACGAACGCGGTACCATGGCAATTTATTGTTTAGCAAAACAATATTTTTTTGATAAAAATTAATTTACAATTGGCATATTTGAATGGAAATTTACATCCGAATTTCGTGATATTTACTATTGTAGAAAATTAATATTTATGCAGCATGTTTGTATGATAATTCAAAAAGAAAAGTATATTTATATTTAAGCATAAACAGCTTCAAGCATGAACGTGAACAATAATTATCATTTCCTATTCTCTTCATATATTTGCACATCCACCTACATTCCCATTCTATCCTTAAGCTTTGTTAGCCAACGCAAATGCACATTCTCATCACACAAAGCACTTTTTTTTCAATTCCATTCCAGCCTTAGTGCTAAAATGAGAAATGGTAAATCAGCCTAAGCCACAAGCAGCCATAAATGAATTGCATTCATTTCAAATATCAGTTAGACACGCATTCAATTCTCAAACAATTTTTCACCTGCTGCGAGCTTTTAGCCCTTTGGCCAAGAGGCAGCTAATAAACATAGCTATTAAGCTGGTCTAATGCCAAACACTTTCGCTCTTTGCCACAGCACTCTTCCTGCTCTCTCTCTCTCTCTCCCTCTCTAGGCTGCCACTCTCACTCTCTAGGCTTGCTTCTATCGGGCTCTGCAATCGGCTGGTGTTTTTATGCTGATTAGCTGCGTTAACAATTTGCAGCACGCGAAACTATTTCAACAATTTCGGTGGGGCAAGAACTTGTGGCATAAATCGCCGCAGCGCCAAAATAAAAAGAATAGAGGAAGAAAATATGTAGTCTTTGTGCCAGTGCTGGCGCACGCCGCGAGCCAGTACAAAATTTTAATAAGCCAAGTCCAAAGTTTGTGAAAGTATTCGTAATAGAGGCGAAAGTGCATGCGGCGCACACGCGACTTGGCAATATGAAGAAAATGCCAGCCATTAGAACCACGCACTCACACACACACACACACACACACCACACACCACACACACACACACACAGTGCTTGTTATAATGCAGTCAAGGACATTTAGAAGAAGCAATATATGCGAACTGTATGCAAACACATATATGTATACACATATAAATACATACATACATACATACATGTATGTATGTGTATATCGTAAAGGAAGTATCACGAAAAAAAATGGCAAAAACTGAGAGCAAAATATAAATGTCAAACGGAAATGACGAGAAAATAGTATGCAATAAAATCTGCTTTACACAGAGCGCGGCAGACGCCTGTGGTAATGCGGGCAGCAGGAAGTCGCATTCATATGTGGTTTAAATTGAGTTTCATTTTTTGTTACACACATTTCATTTTTCTCGTTTTTATCCATTTATTTCCAGTGTGAGCAAATGTGAAACTTGTGTTTGTTACAAAATAGACTTTTTAATAGAGGGAAATGATAAAAATACATAAATATGTATATTTAAAGCACATTGCTTGTGTCTTATTTTTAAAGCTTTAGCTTTGGGCAGCACATTTTTGTGTTTCTCAAATAAAAATGAAACACATTTCATTTTAACATATTGCATTAGATCGCTCATAAGTAAATGTATAAACAAGTAATAACGTTGCAGTCGGGCGTTACCGACTGCGGAGTACTCATTCACACCCCATAAGCAATTTAGTAGCCAAATTGCCACGCCCCTACTGGGCGTAGACACCTCAAAAAATGAAAAAATTACAGGGTATTTTTGATGTGCCACGCCCCTAAAGAGGCGTAAAAATATTGTTTGGGGCACTTTACTATCAAAATTTGAAGCTTCTAGCTCTTATACTTTAGGATAAGTCCTTCATAGCGTGCAAAATTTCAGCATTCTAGACTTATAACTTTGTGAGATACAGTTTTATCCGATTTTCCATGCCCCCAATGGGCGGAGATTGTATATCCGCCAAGGCTGGTGATCTTCAACTAACGTGATTTCTGGTATATCGGAAAATGCATTTTCCGATTCAATAGCGGCGAAATGAACTGCGTTCATACGGACAGACGGACAGACGGACGGACAGCAAGACGGACATTGCACAAAACCAATATACTAATTCACTTCACGAATGAGTATAAATACCGAATTTAAAACCAAATATTTTAAAAGGCATAAAATAATTTGGGCAAATTTGACATGCATACTCGTTTCTACCATACGCAGTACGATTTTGTCTTGTTTTTTCGATAAATCATCCGATAACTTTTTTGTCGAGAATAATCGAAATTTTTGTTTTGCTTTTTTAGACTCATTTGAATAGTTTTAGACCTGGAAAGCTCAGATTTACCGTGTATATACATATGATGAATACAAACATTTTGTAATTTATAGAATTTTGATACCACGCCCCCTTCGCCCCCACGTATTTCGATTACTAGAGACGTGCTTTGGAATGTACATACATTTAAACATTACATTCTGAAAGTTGCATTAAGATTGTAGGTCTAGAAATTAAATTATTCAACAAATAAATTCTTATAATGATTAGAATATCAGCTTGGAGGGTTCAGGGTATCTCCTAGTCGAGCAGTCTCGACTGGAGTCTTCTTACTTGTTAAATATACTTATATAAATAAACATAAATTTTGCTCTTTTCTCTTCTGTACAAAGCACACATTGAAAGAGTGGGTAAAATTCCAGATAACACACTAAAAGCAGCTCTATTTATACGCTTCACTTGGCCAGTTTTTGCATATAATATTTTTCGCTTTTGTCATGCATAAAATCATCATATATCTTTCAACTACAAGTCTTGTGACTGCGAACTGAATCAGCAAACTCGTTGCTAGTCAGAGCCAAAAACTCCTTGAACTCACATATACAAAGGGAGAGAGAGAGAGAGAGAGAGACAGATACAGCACATTCAGCCACAACGAAAAGTGACAAACATGTAAGGCAAACAAATGTGTATTTCATACATGACCGGAGGATAGGAGGAGGAGTGTCCGGGAGGTAGATGCACATCTGTCAGATAAGTGCGGAGAGCATTCTCTGGCCCGCAGGTGACAAGTTAAACGTCTTGTAAGCATTTGCATATTCAGTATTCCCAAGAAGAATACAAATAATACCGGAAAGAAAAATAAAGATAATAAATAAAATGTATAGAGTAGATACCCAAGACTCTCTGCTATGATATACGCAAAATTTGCTAGAAATAAATAAATAAATAGCTCAAGAAAGAAAGACAACAAGCCATAGCACTAGGCACATCCTTTATCCGCAGCTCATTTCGAGGACATCAAAAGGGTTTCTCTTGCTCTCGTTGTTGGCCATGGCTTAAAGCATATTTGATTATGTCATGAAATATGCTGAAGGATCTAGACGCCGCCCTGTTTGCCAACCAAAAGATAAATTTCAGCATTATGCAAATATACAAAAAGCCTCACACACGCTGAGAAAAAGTGTTTGAAGACCTGCTACGAATTATTATGATAACATTTTTAATATGAAAATTTTAGGTCGCAACAAAGACAAGACAAAGAGGCAATTGAAATTCCTCAATATGCTCTAATAGCCAACGTAAAAGCTTTGCATTCAAATATTTTTCGGCATATTTATTGCAGACACTGTACTGGAACAGAGTATGATGGACAAATCCAAATATGGTAATCTTTAAATGTTTATCGAGTATGTGGAATACATATTTGTGTAAAATGTTTTATTATTTTTACAAAGTAAATAAAATAAGTAAATTTTTGTGTCAATGAAAAAAGTGGAAAAGAATTGGTGATAATTTCAGTATAATAAAAATTCAATCGAATTTAAAATTCAAATGTACACAAAAAATAATGTATATATTTGCATTTTTGAAATTACATTTGAATGAAGTCAACCTTCATTCAATCTTATTTATTATTGACTTTTAATTGTTAATTTTTTTATTTATCAAACATCATTTCTATTGCTGTTTATATAGATTTTTAAATGCGTGTTTGGTTTGCTTTTAAAGTTTTAAAATTTGCATATTTGCCTTTTAAATACGACTTGAGGAAATTAAAAAAAAAATATATATAGGACGTTGAATAATTATTGTAATAGGACCGTACCAAAATATAAAAAAAAAATAATAATAATAACAAAGAAACAAAAAAATGATAAAATTATAAACATTATTAAAGCAGTTCTACGATTGGTATATTAGTATCTTATTTTTCCATATGATTAATATATTGTCAATTCAATATTTATGTTGAATTGAAACTCAGCTTGCTGTTTAATATAGATAATTAATTTATCATCATACATGTTTATATACATATCAACATAGTATATACATATTACTGTCATAATTAAAAGCACTCGTAATACTTCCATAATCTCTCCTTAACATCGATTTCCCCCCACTGTGTCTGCTTCCCGCTCAGACCTGCTCAGCGGACCACAAATTTCAATCAATTAATCATTGAGAAGCCCATTGAAACAAGCTCATTAAATTATCAAAGTACTTACCCTTTGAAGGTATCTCGGCACGAGTGGGCGTGGCAGTCATCATTATGAGCACTATGGCCACGATGTTGATAATGTGTAGAGCAATGCCAGCCAAACGCCCATTGGCCGATGGGCGTGGCCGTACATGTCGCAGTGCAACGAGTCCAAGCATTTTTGCGATAAATCTCTGAAACGGGCAATAGGCGAAATTGTACACGAAAATGGCAGAAACACTTGATTAGAGTTGGGGTGGGTGGGGCAGTGTTCAGTTGATTGAGGGTTGAGGGGGAGGTTGGAGCTGGTGTAAAGGGGGGTGGCCGCACACACCAGCTGTAGAGGCTGCACCTGGGGGTGCTGCTCGCGTTGCCCGCGCAGCCAACCCACCAAACAGTTTCACCTTTAATCACTTAAATGGCGCGTAATCATCGGCAACAACAACGACAACAACAACAACGACAACAACATTGCAATCAACACCAGTGCCATTGAAATTGAGCGTCATGATGTTGTCGAGCCTGATGACGTGCGGGTTTGCCAGCACTTAACGGCAAATGTGGAAAATGTAGGCGTCTTCTATAGAGACCCAACACCCACACACCCGCCCTGGTCGTCTCCCCTTTTCCATCGGTCGCCATCGGACCGGATCCCGGATGCGTAGCGTTTGGCGAGCTGAAGTCAAAAATGTTGCTCATGCCCCTGCCCTAGTTAGGGGTATTTCGATTATGTGATTAAGTGCGTGGCCGAGTAGGGAATTCGCTTGTTTCTTTTGGATACTTTAGTGGATGTAAAAGTAGCTTAAACAAAACCATTATACCCTGATTTCCCATTTTCAATGGGTTCAGGGTATACGAATTCAGTATAACCTCGAAATATTTGGACCTAACAATTTCAACTATGCTTTTAAGCGATCTGAAAGCAAATGCCAAGACCAAAACCTTATTACTTTTGTTGATTATTCTTGAGATAGTCCTGTCTAGTTAATAATATATGTAGATATACTAATCGATAGCGCAGTAACTTTTTCATAACACTCAAACCTCATATGGAACAGGAATCGAGTATTATCTTTTCTAAGAATTTATTATATATCTAATCTTTGGATTTATTAATTATTATTATTTTTATTTTATTATTCTATTGATTAATATTATTTAAATAATTGATTGCTAATTTATAATTATTTATAAAATAAAATAAAAATATTAATCAGTGCACTTTAAGCTTAAGACAACCGAAACGAATTGTCGTTGAGCAGATATTATTTTAAAAATAAATCAACATAATTACAACTATAGTATATATCTTATCTCTTCACAGCTCAGAATAACATTGACTTTAGCTCATAAAATATAATAATATGCAAATATAAATATGATTTCAAAGTACTCTAATCTTGCTTGTTTAAGCTAGCCGTAATACAATATTATCTACCAATTCTTAGTGAATGTCAGCTCATCCAACACATCCAATGAAAATAAAAAAATAAATGAATATTCAGAACTGAAAAGTTTTGTTATATCTCGTTTACATTTTCAAAAGTGTATTCGAGATTCGTTGGAATATATTTCCTATGCATAGCTACATAGTTGGGCTGTAGCTTTCTGACTTTGCCGACGTTCGTTTGTTTGTTTTTGTTGTGCAGGAAATGGGGTCTGAGTGGAGCCCCCGCATGGGGGAGGGCACGGACAGTTAGGCTGTCGTCGAGTTGGCCAAGTAGATTTTGAGGCGTTGTTTTGACGTGTTTGCTACGCGGCTGGTGCGGCAAGAGCCAGAAGGCAGGACGCGGGCGGCGGAGCGCGGGAGGGCCGGTGCCTTGGCGAGGTAACTTTGTTGTTGCCGTCGAGATTAAGTTGAGACAATTAAATGAAATATGCTTAGACAGCATTTAGACAGTAATTTGATTTTGTGCCTTGCCTTTGATTGTTCAAGCTCCAATGTTTCGGTGCGGCAGCTGCGGGGGCTGAGCTTTAAAGTCTTTGAGCAATTATTGAAGCTTTAACTCGAATGATGCGGGTGTGTGAATCACTTAAAGCAATAAAAACTTAGAGCATTTTAAGACAAAAGTCCAATAAAGATTTTGCAGACAACACTGGCTCAACCTCCACATTTTAACACAATAAAAATATCATTTAACGATATTTGATTATTAAAATAACTGTCGATAATTAAACAAGTTTTTTGGCTTTGTTTTAATGCTCTTAAACAGTTATTTCTAAAGGCATTAACAAATTATCTATTTACTTCAAAAAAAAAAAAAAAATATTTAATTAAAACAAGATTTGTTGATTTTAATTATTTTCAAATCATATTAAAAATATAGTCTAATCTTAATCAAAAGGTAACCTAACAAAAATTGTCATAATTTTACAATTATAAAAAAAAAAAAAAAGATATTAAAAATTAATATTTACAATAAATTTTCATTTGCCTTTTTATTAAATACATATACAAGTATTATCAAAAATTAATTGTTAATAGTATAAAACATTTCATGCATTGCTTCAGTTTCTATTTAATTTTTTAATTAATAATAATAATTCTACATAAATTACTTTTCTTTAGTTCTTAAAACTTATATAATTTGATAATTTGTTTAAAAAAATATATAAATTCCTTGAACATGTCGCAATAAATTTATTATTGTATCTCTCAAAGTTTTTGCTAATTTGTTGGTTCTGTGCAGCAAATGTGAAGCTATAAATTCAGCTAACTTCCTGGCAGAAACATAAAGAAAACTTTTAATTGTTTGCCGTTGATTTAAAAGCTAACAGCAACAAAAAACAAGAAACAAACAAACGAAAGAAAAACTATAAATCAAAAAAAAAAAAAAAAGAGAATAAAAGTAAAAAAAGGAAAACGAAAAAAACTGCCTGCAGACATATTTCAGTTGTCTTCAATTTGCGATGTCAAACTGTCGACGAACGTTTTGTGTGTTTGTTCGCACAGGGCTCGAATCAAGTTTGACAAATGAAATGATTACACAAAGTAAACACAAAACACGTTGAGCAAACCACCTGTCAGACAGCTGGCAGCACAAGAGAAGCAAGAGCAGAGCCAAAGGAAGCAAAATGAAAAGAAAAACACAAAACAAAATCACTAGCCGAAACTCAAAACGAAAATTCGTCGAGAGTGGGGAAAACAGCCAACGGGCAGCAAAAGCGACAGCTGCAAACATGGCAGCATTTTGCAAGCGGAAAGCCAAAGGAATATTATAAGCAACAATAAGAGCAACAACAACAACTACAGCAAGTGGGATAAACGGCAGCCGGCAGCCGGCAGCCAAAATGCCAAAATGCCAAAACCGAAGCGAACCGCATCACATCGCATCGCAGTGCAGCGCGCCCGAATGCCAACAAAATGGCAATGGTAACACTTCCGCTTCCGGCGCTGCGGGCGTTGTTGACGACGTTGCACGTTGAGCAAACTGTAGTCAAAGGCGATGCGCCAACAGGCAACAGCAACAGCAACAGCAACGACACGAGGCACGCAGGACGATAGGACGGACCACGGACGACGGACGACGGACGACTGGCGGAACACAACAAAGCTTGTTAGTGCGGCTCCCCGTTGACAAAAAACAACAACAACAACAACGACAGCAAATGCAACCATAACAAATTTTTGGGCAACCTTATGGGATGAACTGATTTACGAAGACATACCCTAGATTTTCAAAAAAAAAAATTATTTCTTTTGAAATACTTGCCGATTCTTAAAATATGAATTAAAATAATAAAATGCTTTAGCTTGCATAAGCCATAGATAAGTTCTAAAATATTACTTTACCTAACTAAAGAGGGCCAGAGCATATACATTATTTGAATTATGATTCAGATTAACTCATTCTCCTGTGGAATAGTCAAAGAGAGACAGCCCCTACCAGCCAATACAATAATTTAAAAAAAAACAAATGAAAATAAATAAATAAAAAATATATTTTAATATATATAAAACATATTCATGAAATATAAGTTTTTAGACTTTGATCAACGAAGTTTATAAAATTATTAACAAATTAAATGGATTAATTATTTACAAAATGAAAACTGTATATATAATAAAAGGTATTTAATAATTATCTAAGTTTGCTAGATGTATATATTTAAATCATTTTATAATTTTATTATTATTTCTTTTTTTCTTTTTTGGTATATATGTATATAATAAAAATGTTATCAAAAGTTATTAAAATTAATTTTTTTATGACAGTATTTAAATCCGATGGTCAACCATAAATAAAAATTCATCTATTTCTATATAGTATATTTATAGCTTATTTCTTAATTTTCATTTTCAAAATGCAATTTTTTTTAATTGCCAGACGAACGTTTGATAAAACATTAAAATAAAACCCGTCAGCGTTGAATTTTTTATGCGGGGTATGAAGACAAAAGACCCTTGGGCTTGATGTAGGTAAAAAAAAAGAAACTCAGACATAAACAATGGCGACGAAACGTACAAAAAATTTTAAACGCTTTTAATATTAAAGCGTGGGGATAGAGACACAAAAGCGGCTGGCGCGCAAGACCCCAGCTCCGCAGGTGAAACAGCCAACAAAATGCAACACGGCAGCAGGAGCAGTAACAGCAGTAACAGCAACAGGAGCAAAGGCAACAACAACAAAAAACTGCGGGGCCTTGCAAAAGGCCGCGAATATTTAAAAAATACCTGAAAAATTATTAACAAGGCGAAAATTCGCCACTCTCGTAACGTAGATGACTTAAAAGTATTCATGGAGGGCAGATTACAAATTGGCCAATATTGAAATGAAATGAAAGCAGCTCAGGTTATAGTTAGACAATGTTAAAAACAGTTTGTACAAAATAAAATAAAATAAATTTATTTCATTTCTTAACAAAAAAGGTAATCTTCTCTATATTTCTAGATTTATATGTTTATAAAATGGAAACATGATTGCTTCCCCTATAGATATAAAGATTTGGTAAAACTAGTCTAAAAAAAAAAAAATAAATAAATAAAAAATTAAAATTTACCAAAGTTATTTTAAAAATAAAAATAATATAATAATAAAGCACAATTATTAATAATAGGAAAATAAGATAACTTTGATGGATAAGAATTTGTAAGGTTTAAGAATGTTTTGAGAAGTGCTGAGCTTATCTAAATTTCACTCCAATCGAGATCAAGTATGACACATGCTCAAATATAAAAAGTTTGTCTTAGTTGAAACAGATATAAAATATATTATGTATCAAACTTCAAATGCTGACTAAGCGTTTCATTTAAAACCAAGCTCCTCTACATTTCACTCTATGCCACCTCATAGACCGGCTCTACCCCTACTTATTATGCATAAATATTTCAAATATAATATTTCCTGCAGTTTTTCAGCTTCACACATTTTGTGGCAATATTTACAAGCTGCCCTCATCACATAGAGTATGTCGCAATAAAACAATGCACAAAATCCTCAGCTAAAGCCACTGCTGGAGTGTGCGCTGCGAAATTCCTCAAAACAAGGAGCTGGGACTGCTGGGACTGAAGTTCCTGTCTTGGCCAGTTGCCCGCTGCTGCTGTGCGCTGCTGCCTCTTCGTGACGAAAATGCTTCGCTTAACTGGATTTTCAAATATTTATTGCAACAAATTATTTTGCTGGTTACAAGTCTAACCGACTCCACTACCCCCCGACGCCTGAGAGAGTGGTTTTTATGGCCATTTAGTTTGCTTCGTTGCATTGCCTGGATTTGCAGTTGGGCTTGCTCTTATTTTTTTTTTTTTATTCTCTGCCTTTTACCACTGCGGCTTTTTGCACAATTGCCAACATATTAGAGGTTTGCAAACACACATAAATATAAATATACATAATTGGGAGATATGAAACAATGTTTTTTCAGTATAACAATTAGACTTCAATTTAGTTTTGT